AGACAGCTGACGTGCTATGATTTCTGACAGGCAGTTCACTCTCCTGTGATGTGACCCTGTTCCCCTCACACACACACATGACGCGTTACTCTGCGCTGCGCAAAACTCCGCATTTGAACAGTCAATAGCAAATACTTAAACTAATAGCAAAACATACTTACAGTCGCTGATTCAGAAGCGCCAGATTGTCATAGCAAAGTCAGAAGTCCATAAAATGTGTTGCACAAATTCGAACATCTGGGTTGTGTTGTAAATAAATCTTAACCAATGATTCCTAATTGCATCTACTTCCGGAAGGCCAAATAAAGTGCTCCAAGAGCTTGTAACACTCCAAAGAGAAAGGAAAATTTTAAATCGCATCATATGACCCCTTTAAACATTACATTTTGATGTAGAAAGACTGAAATAGTATTTTATTATACTCCAATAGTGTTTGTCACATTTACAACTTAAAAAAAAAAAATCACAACCTCTTATAATAGCCATCATTTACAAGTCACTAATATAATGCAATCTGTAATTAATACAAATATGAATGCATATGAAAATATCAAAGTATTTTGGTAGCCTTTACGTGTATTAGTTAATGTTCTGTTCAGAAATATATAGATAATGTACAGTCAGACTTTTTTACATGTAAAAAGTACATGCAACGTGTGCAACAAGGACACCTTACAAATAAAGTGTTACCAAAAACACTTTTGTTATAAAGTTTGCAGGAAAATAGCTCTAAACTATTATATCTCCAAGGCTTTATTCATGTGGACTCAGATAATTTTTGCCAATGAAGCAGATTAAATCTCTCACAAGAAATGTAATGTTGTAACTGTGTGTATAATGAAGGATTGAAACCCTCTGGAGCTGTCAATGTGCTGTTGTTCTCCACAGTCACAGCAGGTGAATACACATGTAATTATCTCATGTTAATTAGCTGACCTCTCCTGACAGCGCCTTACCTTGTGTCTAGGCGCAGGTGTCCACAGTGAGGAATAGTGGGGTAAAGATGCTCCTTTCCCAGCAGCCAGTGCGCCGCTATGTTAGGGCCACAGGGTGATAATCCGTGATAAGTGCTGGTTCTGATGGGGTTCGTGCTGATTGTCCTTGTGAGGCATTAAATTGGTCTTGGCTTTTCGGTAACACTTTAGTATAGGGACCAATTCTTACTATTAACTAGTTGCTTATTAGCATGCCCATTAATGATATATTGGTTGTTTATTAGTACTTATAAGGCACATATTCTGCATGATTATATTCAACATCCATAATCCTACCCAATACCTAAACTTAACAACTACCTTACTAACTGTTAATAAGCAGCAAATTAGGAGTTTATTGAGGCAAAAGTCATAGCTAATGGTTTGTTAATAGCGAGAATTGGACATTAAAATACAGTGTGACCAGCTTTTCTAATGGGGAATTGTTGATTTCAATTCAATTAAAAAGAAAACTACTGCTGGACATGTCCGTCTCCTTCCACACGCACACTAAAGAGGTAAGACTGACACACATGCCAGGTGGATTACAGAGGAATGCTGGGAGGTTTTGCTGAGCAGTGCCAGATGTGCTCGAAGAACAACACTGATGTGGTAGTTCTGTATGTTGTTTCAGGGTTGGCATCATCTGAGGTCCTCTGAGGGGGACCTTTTTTCCCTTTTTTTAATGCCACATTACGTAATTCATGGCATGTTTAAGGCACGTTGCTGCAGCAGTGAACAGCCGTGATTTATTATACAGTAATGTGACATCACGCTACATCCATCACCTCATGCACCCTGCGTTTGAGAAGGACAGAGAGCGCGACTATGTTGGAGGGTTATGTGGCACAATCCTTCTTTCTGGGGGGGTTTGGTGCTGCGCTTGTCTCATGGAGCTCTAGCGTGAGCTATAGTTTTGTTGATGCATGGCGATTGTAGTGTGGTTTTCTCACGACTGACTCTGATGTCCTGATATCGCTCGCTCTCTCTGTGGAGACTAAGGCTGATGATACATGAGGCAACTTTTTTAGCAATTTTGCCGGGCAACTCTTTTTGAGCAACATTGCTTGGGCACTTTCCCTTTCGCTTCAAGTTTATTTGTATAGCGCTTTTCACGATACAAATCGCTTCAAAGCAGCTTTACAGAAAATTAAGTTTCTACAATATTTAGTAGTAGCTTATCAGTGGTGACTGTCAGTTAATGTACATATGGCAGAAATGTACGGAAAAATCAATTAAAGACGTAATCAAACAGACGATGAACACTATTAACAGCAATTATTATATGATGCAATCAAATTTATAGCAAAATGTGGTAGTTCTGTATGTTGTTTCAGGGTTGGCATCATCTGAGGTCCTCTGAGGGGGACCTTTTTTCCCTTTTTTTAATGCCAGAAGGCCTTAATCAGGACATGTATATGTATATGTATATGTATATGATTCAAAATGTTGGGGTTGATAAGATTTTCTAATGTTCTCTTATGGTCACCAAGGTTACATTTACTGGTAAAAAAAAATACAGTAAAACAGTAATATTGTGAAATTTACAATAATTGTTATTCATGTGATCAAAGCTGTATTTTCAGCATCATTACTCCAGTCTTCAGTGTCACATGATCCTTCAGAAATCATTCTAATATACTGATTTGTTGCTCAACAAACATTTCTTATTATTATCAATGTTGAAAACAGTTGTGCTGCTTAAATTTTTTCGTGAAAACTGTAGTAGTTTTTGTTTTCAGGATTCTCTGATTAATAGAAACAGCATTAATTGAAATACAATTTTGTATCAGTGAAAAAAAAATGTTTTATGAGTAAATTATCTTTTTAATTGCTGCAAGAACTTATGAGTAACTTTATAAGTATATATTGAACTAAATTTGAAAAAGTAAATAAATAAGCAAGTGCTACAAAAGTAGTAGAGAATGCGGTCCATTTAAATGACAAATGAGAAGCCATTCATCACAATACTCATCACCATCCATCAAACATCACTGCAGTCACTTTCTTTTGCTCTGGACAGGTATTAATATTGAGCTCAGTTGAACTATATTACAACACTAACTATGCAACCCTGACACTGTTATTGAACTGAATTCAATCAAACTGAACTGAGCTAAATAATGACTCCATTGTCTTCTGTAGAGCTGAAATTGAATTTGTTTCATAATTGATTCATTTTACAACAGTAACACGGCTATTTTCCTTTGTATTGCTGTTAAGCTGGTTTGAAACAATCTGCATTGTATAAAGCACTATCTAATTAAATGTGACTAATATGATGTCAGTATCTGAATGTAAGTATTCATTGATCGAGTTTTGCCTTGTCTTCTCTCTCCCGGATCAGAACACCTACACTAATGCAGATAAACTCCTGGAAGCGGCTGAGCAGTTGGCCCAGACGGGCGAGTGTGACCCCGAGGAGATCTATAAGGCAGCGCGACACCTGGAGGTCAGGATCCAGGACTTCGTCAGGAGAGTGGAACAAAGAAAACTACTGCTAGTACACACTGTCGGTGCGAATGCAACCCTTTAAATGGTACTGGGAATAGTTTGCGCAAAATTGTCCCAGTACTTTAGTACTGTACATTTAGATCTGGAACTAAAGCGGTGCGAAAGGCCCTATTGAGAATGGGTAACATTTCTATTTGAATATTTTAGATCCGTCGTGGGCTCTGTGTCTCACCTGGTTGCCCACTGACGGCAACATTTCCCAAAGTTGCCCAGCAACATTGCTCAAAATGTTACCCAGTGTATCACCAGCCTAAGATCTTGTAAAAGACACATTTATTTCAAGGTGTATAACGACATGCTTAATGTACATTTATGGTATTTGCAAAATAAGTTTTGGTGAAATGTCTTTAAAAGAAGCCTCTTATGCACACCAAGGCTACCTATATTTGATTAAAAAGTATATTTAAAACAGTAGCATTTTGAAATATTACAATTTAAAATAACTGTTTTGTAATGTAATTTACTCCTGTGATGGCAAAGTATCATTGCTCCAGTCTTCAGTGTCACATGATCCTTCAGAAATCATTCTAATATGCTGGTTTGCTGCTCAAGAAATATGTTCTTATTATTGACACAGTTGAGTACAGTTAATATTTATTGGGTAAAATGTAAATATTTTGTTCAGGATTCTTTGATGAATAGTTTTTCAAAACAGCATATTTTTTGTAACAATGGAAACATCTTTACTGCCATTTTTTATTAATTTAGTGCATCCTTACTGAATAAAAGTTTTCCTTTCAATCAGAAATCATTCTAATATGCTGATTTGGTGCTCAAGAAACGTGTCTTATTAAGGGCTCAGAGCTTGCTCTTTCATATTTTCATAATAGACTTAATGAATTTCATTGATTTAGTTCTCACTTAAGTATCAACTTTAGCCCTATTCAGATGGTAATTGTTTCTCATGTGGACGTCTGTAAAAATAAATGTACATGGCACCTCAGCGATAAAACTCGGATTCTTATAAATATAAAACTTGGATTCAGATGGCAATTTATTGCGAGTTCTATGATCCTATGAAGACCGCGCTGTTCACATGGCCAGTCGCATGATTATATGCTTTAATAAAAATATCATATGCTTGGAATAATGAGAATAAATTCATATTTAATAATATCCTATTCATTAATTGAATATTAAATCTCCCGTTTAAAAATCTGAAAATAGATATGTTTTTAATATAATGCTGATAATGCTTTTGCGCGGGTGGCGAGAAAAAACCCCCGACATTCTGGATTTGGACCACAATAAAATCAAAGACCAACCCCTGTAAATGTTAAAAATAGCTTGCATCCCCATGATAAATAATTACTGTCGGAATCTGGCTTTTGTCTAAGATGTTTCTCTTCAAATTTTCAGACCAAACTAAGACCATTGTTAACATTTTTTTTTATTTCATATGGAGGAGCATATGGAAATAGAAATATAGTATTTGGTAGTTTTAATAACATCTTTTTACATTTTTATGTAATGCATGTGTTATTACCATGTAATAAATCAAATAGCTGTAGTTCTGGTAAGTGGTACATATGTAAGACTCAGCCTTTCTCTTTAGCTGCTAACTGTGTGGATTTTTTGTTTGGTTAAATGTGTTACAGTAGTGTTTATACTCGACACATTCCATTTCACAGCAGTGTGTGTGTGTTGAGAGTAAAAAGCGCTACATTATGTGAGCTAAGACTAACATCAGCGGTTCTTGGCTAAAGGAGGTTCTCCTGCAGGCCAAACATTTACAATGTTTCACACTGGCCTGGAGAGTTTCTGCACCGTCCTACTGAAAGAGGTCACAGCACAGGCCCTCAGAAGTGCTCAGGTTTAGCAGCACTCTAGAAACACTTCATTTCAGCCAGGAAACCCACACACACTCTTAAGATCAGTGTGAGGTGAAGGTAGACTCTGTAAATGGTTTAGACATAGAACAAACTCAACAGGCATATTATACAACTTGAGCAGTTGTATAATATACCTTGATAGTACACAAACATATTTCATGTTTATGCTAGTTTTGTGTCAGAACAAAGTATATTGATTTCATATTCCTTTAAATGGGTCATGAACTGAGAAATCAAAATTTGCATATGTCATATAAGATATCATTGTACTATAAAAACATCCTGTAAGTTTCAGAACTAAAAACTTTCTTGTTAGTCTAAAATTAGCTTATATTGAAGCCAAAAGACAGCTTGTGGAATGTGCCACTTTATGGCGTAAAAGTGTGGATAAACACCACCTCCGCAGAGGAAGATCAACGCCTGCTTCTACATCACTGCCTGTTTAGCCCCGCCCACCAATTCTACATCACAGCCTGTTTAACCCCGTCCACCAATTATACTACACAGCCTGTTTAACCCCGCCCACCAATTATACTACACAGCCTGTTTAACTCCGCCCACCAGCTGCCTGTTTAACCCCGCCCACTGATTCTACAACGCTGCCTGTTTAACCCCGCCCACCAATTCTACATCACTGCCTGTTTAACCCCGCCCACCAATTCTACAACACTGCCTGTATAACCCCGCCCACCAATCCTACAACACTGCCTGTTTAACCCCGCCCACCAATTCTACAACACTGCCTGTATAACCCCGCCCACCAATTCTACAACACTGCCTGTTTAACCCCGCCCACCAATTCTACAACACTGCCTGTTTAACCCCGCCCACCAATTCTACAACACAGCCTGTCTACATCAATTCTATATATATATAATGGATTTATAATTTCCAGTTTCAATGGAAATAACCCTATATTTTTTTATCTTGCTGTTCTGCTGCAATGGTTTCATAGCAATCTGAAGTGTATTTTTTAATTCATAATGTGACCAGATTGACCGCAGATACAGTTACTATGGAAACCACAGGGATGGCAACATCACATTCACCACTGTGCTTTGTAACTGTATTAACCCTTTAAGAGATGCATGCCATGTCAACTGTGTTTGAAACCAATGTAAAGAGAAATGAACTCTTGAAGTGGCATGCAGGCCGTGTTTATTTCTGTAAGGAATCCCTGTATGTCCCTGCTGTGCGGTTTGGTTTAATGTATCCATTGTGTTTAGCTTTACCCTAATGTGGGCGATTTCCTGCATTGTAAAACTTGTCTTATGCATTGCTGTTCAGAGCTCTCGTGTGTGATTCATATGAATAATATTCCTGCGTGTCTCAAGCCGCTGTTGGGGGAATCATCTATCATGAATATCACATCCTTCTGCAAAGCTGCTCTATGCCTGCAACATGTTAAAGCTGAACATGAGCAGCCTCCTCACGGCAGATTTGGAAAGGCCTTATTCATCATTACAGGCTCTCGATCTGCATCTGGCAGAGCTGATGTTCCCACGCTCATGGAGAACCTGGAAATTGGGATTGATTGGAAATTCTTAAAACATCATGGGAATTCTATAGCATTCTATAGCATTTTTAAACCCTTATCAAATAATCACAAGTGTCATGGCAATTCATTGTTCAGAGGTGTAAACACTGTAAAGAGGGATCTGTGTTTATCAAACATGCCTGTTTGATTGATATTCTCTGGTCCTGTTCAGTAACTCAATCCATCAGCAAGATTGGTTCCATGAGTTGTTTCTCATAAGTTAATTAATTGCGAGCAAAATTCATTCAAAGCGTTTTTATTCCTCCACATGGAACAGTGAGAATGTGTTAACAGAGACTTTGAATGCAGCACAAAGGTGACATAAGTTTATTTAAAGAGGAACAACAATTGTGGCACTCACTGCATCAGTTCTGGTGTTTTTTGCTCATTCTTGATTGAAAAGAAGATGCACACAAATGTGACCCTGGACCACAAAACCAGTCACAAGGGTCAATTTTTCGAAATTGAGATTTATACATCATCCGAAAGCTGAATAAATATATTTTCTTTATTTCCATTGATGTATGGTTTGTTATGATAGGACTATATTTGGCCGAGATACAACTGTTTGAAAATGTGGAATCTGAGGATGCAAAAAAATCTAAATATTGAGAAAATCGCCTTTAAAGTTGTCCAAATTAAGTTCTTAGCAATGCATATTACTGTTACGGGGCGACAGAGACGTAAGACGTGCGGATCCATCTGCAAAGCTTTTATTTAAAGGTGTGGTCATAAAAACAGGCAAGGTTCTGACAATGGCAAACAGGTATATTGAGGGCAAGACAAAAGAGGAATCCAAAACAAGCAATAATCCAATCGAGGTGCAAACACAGTCCGAATCAGCAAGGCAAAGGGTAAATCCAAGACAGGCTATAAACTTCAGGGCAGGCAGAAATCAGACAGGACGAGATAACAGGCTAGGGTAAAGACACGGGAAAATAGACTATGAACAAGGCTAGACTCATGAACTTGGAAGGGCGCCGTAAAGTAGCTATCCCTAGGTGAGCGATAAATGCTGAACAATGCTCGGCCCTGAATGGTGGTGTGAGACTGATTTATATAGTGTGTGTTATTGGTAGCAGCTGTGTGTGATTGGTTTCAGGTGAGCTTGTGATTAGTGCAATGGAGTATGGGAAATGTAGTCCAGGGTGATGTGTAACAGTCTGTGTGGTGTGAGAGTCAATATCATGGGAGGGCGACGTCTGGTGGCAAGTGGATGGAAGTTCATGGACCGGATTCGTGACAATTACTAATCAAAAATTGAGTTTTGATATGTTTACAGTAGGACATGTACAAAATATCTTCATGGAACATGATCTTTACTTAATATCCTAATGATATTTGGCATAAAAGAAAAATCTATCATTTTGACTCATACAATGGATTGTTGGCTATCACTACAAATATACCCCAGCGACTTAAGACTGCTTTTGTGCTCCAGGGTCACATATTGTCATGACAACAGCCAACAATGTGTTGGCAGTTCTTTCAGCTCATTTATGTAAAATCAGACAAATCATCTCTGTTCTGCTCATATCTAATGTTGCACGTGTTTTCCCAAAAAAGTCTGTTTGCTTGTTATTTTTATTTATGGTTGCCAACTGAAACATTTACAATACACATCTCTGAAATTAACATTTGTTCACTTCATTTGATAGCCAAATAACATATTGGCTCATGAAACATGCGATGTGTATGTGTCAGGATCATGGACCTGTTTTGTCGTGTTTTTGCCCCTGTTTCTGTCCTCGTTTAGTTTAATTAGTCATTCAGTGCACCTGTGTTTGCTTATTATCCCTTGCATTTAAGTTCTTGTCTGTGCATTTCTGTGTCGGGTCTACAAGTTATGTTCGTGTGTCATTCCTCGTTCCTTTTTTGTAGATTTTCCCCTGTGTTTGTTCATTAAAAGACTGTTTAACGCTTCTCCGCATCTCCTGCGTTCCTTCCGGCAACAAATCGTGACAGTATGTTATACTGTCACTATGCTATTTGGACATTATTTGGAATTAAATGTAGGGATCCTTTTTTTTTTTTTTTGTCTCTTCTGCTTACCAAGGCTTCATTTATTTGACCAAAAATACAGTAAAAAACAGCAATATTGTGAAACATTATTACAAATTAAAATAGGTGTTTTCTATTGAAATTAATTAATTAATTAATTTATGCATTTAGCAGACGCTTTTATCCAAAGTGACTTACAGTGCATTCAGGCTATACATTTTTTACCAGTATGTGAAAATGTATTTGAACTGTAATTTATTCTTGTGACACAAAGCTACATTTTCAGCATCATTACTCCAGTCTTCAGTGTCACATGACCCTTCAGAAATCAGTCTAATATGCTGATTTGGTGCTCAATAAATTATCAATGATGAAAACATTTATTTATTGATTTATTTATTGATTTATTTTACCAATACACCATTCAAATATTTGGGGTAATTAAGAATGAATAAATAAATAAATAAATAACTAAAAAACAACAAGGGTGCATAAAATTCATAAAAATCGAAATACTTTTATAGCACTCCATCACTGCTACATCATGCCAGCACTGAATCAACAATGAACTGACTTTAACTGGAAAACTGACTGTTCTTTCTATTCTCCTCTTGCATTATCAGCACAATTATTTTCCTGTTTAAGGTAAAGGTGACTTGACTTAAATGCTTAAAAAGCTTTCTAATAAATACAATCTATTTAATAAAAACCGTTTCCAATATTATTAGTAATAAGAACAATTATTAATAATTGAGCAACAATAACAGTTGATAATAATAACAGAGCACCAAATCATAGAATATTAGCATATTAGACTGATTTCTGAAGGATCAAACCAGCAACCTTTGGTTGCCTGCACTGACCTGGAAACACGACACCACACAGCACTCCAATGTTTGAGGGAATTTTGTTCTGATTTTGAATGAACTCTCCGAATCATTTCTATACTGTTTAATCTTTTAGACTGAAATGTTAAAAACGGATGCAGCATGAGAAATGAGAGCGTATATTTCCGGCTGCTTTCTAATATTGGATTCAGGACAGATTATTGTTAGATGAGCGTTATAATCTGTGCAGACAGGTCACTCCATCTCTGAGTCTGTAGAGAAGTTTAGAAACTTTTTTAGGTCTTTGCAGGAGTAAGTGTGTTTCTGTGCTTGTATATGGGTCAGGTTTTGGCTCCACTGTAGAGAATAAATGTTGAGAGTTAAACAAATACTTACGTCTGAAAATATAAATATGCAGAAAATTGTGCATTATATTTAGGAGGAATATCACGAGGAAATACTATGACTGAAAGCCTGTACATGTGTTAATGTGTATATATGTGTGTGTTTCAGTTGTGGACGTGGATGGAGGACCTGCAGAAGGAGCTTCTGGAAGAAGTTTGCTCTGATTCGGTGGATTCGGTTCAGGAGCTGATCAAACAGTTTCAGCAGCAGCAGACGGCCACGCTGGAGGCCACACTCAACGTCATTAAAGAGGGAGAAGACCTTATGCAACAACTCAGGTATCAACACACACACAGTTTCACTCACGAGTTTACACACTTACAAATACTTTTCAAAATCTCTCTTTAAAAGGCTACAGAACAGGTATTTACATATTTTCCAAAATAGACAAAATAACTTATTTTACACAAATTATCCTGTTCAAATGTTTGCATTCCCTTGATATGTAAACTTTAACAAACTTGGAAAGGCAACACTCAGTATCAAGAACCAAATGTGTGTAAACTTTTAAACAGAATTAAAGATCTGTAAATTCAATTATATTTTGTCTTGTTGGATGTATGTAAATATATTTAATTCATGCTTTTACATATCTAACATGTACTTACTATACAGTAAATTATGCATAATTACAAATAACTAACCCTAAACCAAACCCTAGCACTAATCTTAACCTTATAGTAAGTATTTAATTGTGTAATTACACTGTAACACTTGTAGCCCAAGTTTTATGACCTTCTAAAAATGAACTTCTAAAATAAAATCTTAGTGAATTGGATATTGCTTACAAATAATTCATCAGAATAAGCGACAGCTTTGAATGGCTGTCAAGAAATATTACTTAATGGTGCAGTTACAGCAGGAGCTTATTAAACTGTGCTCACCTGCCAAACCTTGAGCACTTAAAGTCCCCATGAAATCAAAATTAAAGTTTTTTGGGTGTTAGTATCAATATGTTAGTCTTAAGGTTATCTATAAGGCAGTGTGCTCCAAAACAGTGACAAAATTAGCATTTAGAAGATATAAGCATTCAAAGCTTGCAATTCGTCACTTCCGCCAAAACGGCTCAACGATTTTTTTGACGTCACATCGTACTTCAGCTTCTCATCAAACTTTCTGTCCAATCAAATGTTCTCTAGAATCCGAAGCGCCCGCCCCCTACACTATAAAATAGACGCTGAAGCCGCGGCTGAAATCGGTCACTTGTCCACAGAATTAGTATTTTCTGTACAGTGAATGGCACGTAGTGCACTATATAGGGGACAGGGAATGATTCAAACAGTGTAAATATGCTTTCCATTTAGGAAAATAAGAAGTCTGGTTTCGCGCTGTGTCACGCTAACCACCGCACCGCACACACACTCTGCTCCGGTCCAGAGACACGAGAGCACGGAGCGGATCACATGCGCGAGTCGGCGCAGACCACAAAATGTATCGGAGCTATTTGAATTCTACACAGAATGCTATATTTTATAGCAATATGGATGAGATTGTGGCTGGCATACCCTGTCAAATGCAGCTTTACGGAGCTCAACGGCTCTGAACGGTTCTAGCCCAAGCTGTGATATAAACGAACGCTATTGGCTATTTTAAAAAGGGGCGGGGCTGCTTGATATGTCCCGCCCTGTCTTCCTGTTTCAGTTAAAATGACGTCAACACATAGTACACATAGCAAGTAACGCTGCATGTTTCTAAGCATTTCAGGGGACCTTTAAACAACTAGAAAGTGTATTTACAGTAAATATGTTTATAACGGAAGTCTACCAGTCAAATAGGGCTCAATGTAATATGAATGAATTCTCTGAATTTTTGTTTAAGGTTGATGGAAATGTCTATAAACTTAACAGTTACGTCCCGGCAGAAAATTGTATTTTGCAAGGGTGCAGCATCATGAAAAATATGGTAACACTTTATTTTAAGGTGTCCTTGTTACGCATGTTACATGTACTTATGTACAGTAAATTATGCATAATTACATGCAACTAACCCTAAGACAAACCCTAACCATATAAGTACATGTAGTTAATTAATATTACTCAGTACTTAAATATATAATTACACTGTAACAAGGACACCTTGAAATAAAGTGTAACCCTTAAAATGTATGCAATTGTAACACTGTTTTGAAAGTACAGCCATGACACTAAAACATCACATGATACTAGTGTGTCATTTACCAAAGCCATCTGTGTAAAGTTGCATGCAGGCCCACAGAAAATTCCAGTGATAAGAAGACAGATTGAAAAAGAAATGTATGTAAAACTGCCTCATGCATCAGTTGTAAGTGCATTAGTGCAAATGTGCTTCCAATTTAATTTTTATAAACTAAAGAACGAGTCTGTACTATTTTTTTGTGTTTTACAAACTGTCATAGACATGATGTTTATAAACATTAAGTTGTGTATTTGCCAGAATATTTCTTTAGTGTAAGCAAATTGTAATGGTTCTAGTTTCCCCTAACCCCCACACTCTTAACACAGAGATTCAGCGATGAGCAGTAATAAGATGCCTCACACCAGCTCTATCGCTCACATAAACCCAGTAAGCTGTGTGTAGGTGTGTGTGTGTGTGTGTGTGTGTGTGTGTGTGTGCGCGCGCGCACGTGTTTGCATGCTAGATTAATAATTTTCTCCAGAGATTTAACAAAAATCAGCAAATAAAATAAAAATAGATAAATACAAAATATATCAGAGCATTTGAAAAAGTAAATACAATACTCATCCCACGAAGCATTGTGAATGATGAAATGGACACGGTAGAACTATTGATGGTAAATATAAAATACTATCAATTTAAAGCCATAAAATACTAAAATATAAACAAAATATATAAGTAGTTTGAGAGATTGATAGTTTAAAAAAAAAACTGTACTTGCAGATAATATGTGACCCTGGACCACAAAACCAGTCATACGGGTCAATTGTTCTACATATAAGATAAGAATATATAAGCTTTCCATTGATGTATGGTTTGTTAGGATCGGACAATATTTGGCCGAGATACAACTATTTGAAAATCTGGAATCTGAGGGTGCAAAAAAATCGAAATACTGAGAAAATCACCTTTAAAGTTGTCCAAATGAAGTTCTTAGCAATGCATATCGCTAATAAAAAATTCAGTTTTAATATATTTACGGTAGGAAATTTACAAAATATCTTCATGGAACATGATCTTTACTTAATATCCTAATGATTTTTGGCATAAAAGAAAAATCTATCATTTTGACCCATACAATGAATTGTTGGCTATTGCTACAAATATACCCCAACGACTTAAGACTGCTTTTGTGCTCCAGGGTCACATATATTAATTAAACAAAGGGCCACTTAACTGTACTTAAAGAAAATATACCTTCATGACTATGCTTTTTAAAACACTTAAGTGTACTTAAAAAGTACACTATAATGTAACAATGTCAAAGTGTTTAATTGTCTCTCCTGTCCTGCAGGTAACGGCGGAGTTAGACGCGTGGAATGAGGACCTGGTTCGTCAGGTAAACGAGTTCACCGCAGAAGAACCCAGTCTGGCTGAACAGAGACTCCAGCGGCACGCGGAGAGAAAACTGGCCATGAACAACATGACCTACGAGGTCATGCAGCAGGGTCAAGACCTGCATCAGTACATCATGGAGGTCCAAGCTTCAGGTGAGAGAGAGAGCGAGAGAGAGAGGGGAAGATGAAAAAGAGTATAGGTGCCACTCACACTGACAGCCAGTAACTCAATAGTACAAGTTGCTGTACTGTTTTCTTGGTACTCTCAGGTTCTCACCCACAGACCAACCACAGTGTGTTCACTGACCACCCGATGTATTTTGCACACAAAAATGCCCAAGGGCTGGATTCACAAACATCTTCTTAAAAAAATAAGTTAAGGGATTTCTTAAGATAAATTCCAAGAAGTTTGTACTAATCTTCCTAAGCATAATTCTTAAAAATTCTTAGAACGTTCTCAAATATAAAAAAACAACAACAATATGTATATATATATATATATATATAGTCACTCCACACTTAATCATGACTGTTTATTGTTTCTATTATCGATAATTGGTATGATTTCAGAGCACTCGTGCACATCCCTAGTCAGAGTAATATGTATTATATATAGCTAGTGCTATGCTGTAATGCATAATTATAACAATTAATTTGAAACAAACCAATAAATTCATTAAACATCATATCATTGGAGACTAACTGGAGTTTATCCTGACTTTAAGAAGTTATTTACAGTGATTATTTTTTAAGTTTTGTCTAAAGAACAACCTTATTTTAAGGTCCAATTCTCACTGTTAACTAACTACTAACTGTGACTTTTCCCTCAATAAACTCCTAATTTGCTGCTTAATAATAGTTAATAAGGTAGTTGTTAAGTTTAGGTATGGGGTAAAGTTAAGGGATCTAAAATATGGTTCTGCAGAATATGGCATTCATATGTGCTTTATAAAATTTATTTTAATGCTCCTTAAAATAAAGTGTTGCCCTTAAGATTGTTCAAAGATGAAAAAAATTTGAGGAAAAACGTATCATTACATATATAATTTGGAATTGTATTATATTAGTGGCTTCAAATCATCCTAAAGTGATTTGATCAACACAGTCTCATGGCAGTTTGTAAATATTTACATTTTCGTGAACTGGTTGCAAAATTGTGCATGTTCATTTGCAAGTTTTTGTGCAAATCTGCTCACACCTCCTGAGGGTTAGGTTTAGGGGTGCACCTTCATGGTGAGGTTTTACCTACAAATCATATGCTTTCACACAAGTCAGATCATCCAAATGTATATGAAATCACACACTCGTACAGTACTCATGAACTCTGATGAGATGGGGTTTGATCTGATAGAGATATAGATGCAGAGGAGAGAGAAGGAGAGCCGGCACTAATGATGCTCAGTACAGCTTTCATTTCAATTTTAAAAAAGTGAGTTAAAATGAAATTAGACCAAATGTCACTCCTTTCTTCAGCTGTGTCTGTCTCTAACCCACATTTCTCTTCGTCTCCACTCTTATCTTCATACCGTCCCAACATTCAGCGCTGTGTCTCACAGATATTTTTAACACTGGAAACAGACTTCCTCTCCTCAAACTGCTGACCCAACTCTCACCCCCCTCTCTCTCACATATGGGTCTTGGCTGAGGACACACTCTTCTGTCCAGGCTTTGGACGCCGTCTGTTCCAGACATTACTGTGACAATCTCTCACACATGCCTGTGTGTCCGATGGGTGTGTCTGATTCTGCTGCTGGGACAACAGATACAATCACCGAATTAAGCTTTACTGGATGCTCTATATGCATATCAACTGTGATTCATTAATTCGTTCGTTCGTTCGTTCGTTCGTTCATTCATTCATTCATTCATTCAGTCAGTCATTTGTTCGTTCATTCATTCATTCATTCGTTCGTTCGTTTGTTCGTTCGTTCATTCATTCATTCATTCATTCAGTCGTTCATTCATTCATTCATTCATTCATTCATTCGTAATTACTTAAACTAACTTCGCAGCTGTAGTTCTAGTAAGAAGTAATATTAGAAATTAAAAATATAATTAAAAATCAAATTCAGTCAATTAATTTGTTTGATTATTCTTTCAGTGAAATATATGGAAAAATAAAAACTAATTAACCTATTCTGTCAGATAGATAGATAGACAGACAGACAGACAGACAGACAGACAGACAGACAGACAGACAGACAGACAGACAGATAGACAGATAGACAGATAGACTGACAGACAGACAGACAGACAGACAGACCGTTTTTTTGATAGATAGATAGATAGATAGATAGATATGTATGATCATTTGCAGCATTCTGTATATTTTTGTTCCTGGTTATCCTCACATCCCTCTATCACTTCACACATGTTGAGTTTTATTTAGCTGACTGTACATTATCCCTAAATTAAATTTGCCTTGAATGTGAATCTATGAAATAGTACAGTAGTTCTGAATGAGGAGAGCGGTTTTGTAGTGGATTTGAACTATCTTCCATACTGCCACCCAGTGGTGATGAGCTGTAAAGGTGTTCTTTCAGACAATAATGATTCTGCAGGAATATGAACAGAAGTGTGTATTTGTGTGTGATATGCAGGTATTGAGTTGACCAGTGAGAAGGAGGTGGATCTGGCCACTCAAGTTCAGGAGCTGTTGGAGTTTCTTAATGAGAAACAGCATGAGCTGGACGTGAGCGCTGAACACACACAGAAACACCTGGAGCAGTGTGTGCAGCTGCGCCACCTACAGGCTGAGGTTAAACAGGTAACACACACAGAATAATCAACATTCAGATTGCCACTCATGAACTTTAGAAATGAGACAGAAGTCATACGCAGCCAGTAACTTCAATAGCAGCTCACTATACACGTTCTCCAGCATCTGCTTATCCATCTCAGGGTCAAAAGTCAAACTTTATCAATGAAAAACGCTTCCTGCTGTTTGGCTACTCAAAGTTATATTTATTGTTCTGTTTTCTTCATATTCTTAGTGCAGTCTTGGGATAAAAATCAAGCAGATGTTCAGAGCCACAGCTGAAATGATTCACCAAAGATATATTCCATTTAGCAAACTGTCCATAATATATACCGTAGCAGTGTTTCCCAGCCTTGATTGCTAGTGACTCCAAGACCTGAAATGTGTGTCTTAGATAAGAGAGACATTCAAAATGTGAAATGTTGCTGGTGCTCCAGCACCAGGGTTGGGAAACAAAATTATAGAGTAGGCTATACAAAGTGCTGCTCAATGCAATGAACATTATGTATGAACATAAATGTGAAGTATTTTTATTGCATTTATTATTATTGCGATTAATATTTTGAGTTTTTTGCTATTTTGCTGTTTTCTTCCATAACTTGTCTTCTTTCAGACTAGTGGAAGGAATACATCCACAATACACATTTATGTGTTTATTTGATTACACTTTGGCTATTTGTGTTTTTGGATTTCAATTACAGTACATATCTTTAAAAGCCTGTTTTAATTTTCCCCCTCATGCAGTGAGACAGAAATCTCCATTTTAGTAACACTCACCAAATGTTTTGTTGTTGTTTTTGTTAATATATCATTTGGCTGATTTATGTCACCTGTCATTTTATTCTTAAAAATAAAATGTGTGTGTATCACTTCTGAGTGATATAAAGAGACCTTCGACATTTCGGTAATGATCACTTATGCTCACCAATCCTACATTTATTTGATAAAAAAGTAAGTACTGTAAAAATAAATATTTAGCATATATTTAGGCCATAACTGTTTTCTATTTTAATATATTTTAAACTTTAATTTATTCCAATGATGGGAATGCTGAATTAATACTCAGTTGTTAATTGATTGATTGATTGATTGATTGATTGATTGATTGATTGATTGAAATTATGATACTTTTTTCAGGATTATTTAATGAATAGAAAGTTCAAAAGAACAGCATTTATTCATAATTTATTTTTGTAAATAGTCATTTAAAGTAACAATGTAAAAGTCTTTACTGTCACTTTTAATCAGTTTAATCTGCCCCTTGCTTAATAAATAAATGCATACTGTACATATATACATGCATAATCAATCGTACTGACCCCAGACTTTTGGAAAGTAGTGTATGTGTGTTTTCCCTTTACCCATAATGCCACAGCTCTTTAAAGAGGACTCACCCTCACTGATCCATTTATCAAAAATAACTAAACATTGGTTGTCGGAGGTTGCTCCTCTGCTCTCTCACGCTCTTGATGTATCACAGTGCTGGGCTCTCGTGTGACTCTCTGTTGGCTCTGTCACTGGCGGTTCCTCTGATTGATCATCAACAGAGAGACATTCAGTGTGGCTCTCAGAGCTAGTCTCAATCAGAGGGCCAAAGTGCTGTCGCCAAGGACAGCCTTAAAGTGTCTGCCACTACACGAGCGCTAATGGAGAGAAATGAGCAGAGAGAGTTATGAATTCTGCTCAGGCTCCTCGGGATATCAGTCCACACTGAGAGTGACATATTCAGATCAGACTGACAGCTATTTCAGTGTTATATCATGCAGATGATTCAATCTAACTTCACCCAACACTTATTTCTGAGTGCACTTGAAGATAGATAGATAGATAGATAGATAGATAGATAGATAGATAGATGATAGATCATATTTATATTGTGTGCTGTGTTTCAGTGCTAAAGTTGTATGTGTTGTGTCGTGTGTTAGGTTCTGGGTTGGATTCGTAATGGTGAGTCTATGTTGGATGCCAGTATGGTGAATGCAAGTTCACTGTCAGAGGCCGAACAACTACAGAGAGAACATGAACAGTTCCAACTCGCGATAGAGGTAAACACACACACACACACATACACACACATACACACACACACATACACACACACACACAAACACACTCACACTCACACTCACAGACACACACACACACACACACATACACATACACATACACATACACATA